AAGAATGGTCCCCTATCCCATACGGAGGTGAAAACCACACTAGGGAGTAGTTTCTCATTCGAATTAAATAGGATAAGAGCGGGGTTTTAGCTCATGTTATGAATGCAGTGCTCAGTATGCGAGGAAAATCATAAAAAGAAATAAACAAATAATGTACAATAAACAAAAATAATCTTAAAATATAAAACATATAATTAAATATGAAAATAATAGCAAACCAGTTAGTACAACTATTTATACAAGAAATGGTTATTAAAAAAATCAAGGAAGAAAACTAAATGAAAACAAATTTAATTTTATTGCAAAGACAATTAATTAATAAACTGGTGGCTTGACTCTCTTTAAAAAAATCTCCAGCAGAGTCGCCAAGCTATCGAGACGTTTCTCTGCCCGACGACGGAGAGTGAAAATAGTACATCTAAGTGTAACTAGTCTCGAAAGAGTAAGTGTTTATCTTCCTTGAATCAGATAAAACACTAAGTTGTAGAGTCACTACTAATCTTTTAATGTGGTGAGATTGGTCACTAAAATGTTATATTATTCTAATAGAATTCCTGAGAATAATATTAAAATAATACAACCAGAGGCTGCTTACCAGAAAAATGAGTTTGGGAGTCGGTTACGTATGAAGAAGAATTAGCATCCCCATAACGCCCAAAATTGGTACCGGTGTTTATTAATTGATTTATCTTTGCAATAAATTAACAAATTTGTATTTAATTTTATACAAATAAATATAATAATAGGAATATCATTTCACACCAATAACCATTTTAAAATACCTTCCTAATTAATTAAGAAGATATTTAATGATCTATTATATGAAATAATACAACTTAAATACACATATATAAAATAATAATTAAAATATCAAAATATCATATTACTAATGCAAAAGTTACAAATTTTAGGTACTAAAATATAAATAATCCTATAATAATTTTTAATATTAAAATTAAAGGGATTAAATTATAAAAATAATAGGAATAATAGGCCAAATTCGAAATATTACAAAATCTACATACTATTAGTATAATTTAACCTAAAATATAATTAGGGATTAAAATAGAATTTATTAAAATCTAGGGCCTAAACATGTAACTTTACCTTAAATATATATAAACATAGGCAAAGACTAAAATGAAAATGAAACAAAATGGAAAAAAAATTAAAAGATATAGAAACCTGATTTTGGTGACTATAACGGATGATTACAAAATTAGAGGGACCCCACGTGTAATTTACCCATACAAAAATTACAAAGACACCTTCCCCAAAAGACATCGTATAGGGGATGATATTTAAACCCCAAAAATCGACCCAAAAATGGTCGTTTCCCTCATTTATCTCTTTCAGCTTCAACTCTCTCTAGAATTCCCTTACCGGAGGGAATTAGTCCATCGGGCGGCCACCCTGCACCATCTCCGATAGCCGCCGTCGGCCACCACCCACGGTGGCCGAAAAATACTAAACTACACTAAATCGAAGCCCTCAACCTCCTAAACACGATTTCGAGCCTCTTTTGGCCTAAAAACCTTCTAATTTGTCGGGATCTGAGATTTTACCTTCGAAATTCGAAGGTTTCCAGTGTCAATCGGCTTCTTCGAGGTTAAGTTCCTTTTTTCTTTCCTTTTTCACTTTTGAATATCTTATTGTGGTTTTTTGTTTACTTGTTGTGTTTGTTGCTTTTCCTTTCTGTCTCTGTGTGTCGTTTTTGCTTGCAGGAATATGGATTATATAGCCCTGGAAACCTGCCATAATGATGAACCTACCCCGTGAGTCACAAGATCTATGGTGGTGACTCACCATAGGGTAGTGAGGTGTGTGGTTTATATTTCTCTTTTGGATTATTCTATTTGAGGCGGTGGAGTCTGATGGTGATAGCGGCGGTAGTGAGGTGTCACTAGAGGTGGTGGCTGCTAGGGTGAAACCCTTGTTGATGGAAGATATGAGCCCTCCATCTCTATCTTGATCGAAAGGCTAAGGAGGTTGGTGGCGCTGGAGAAGATTAGCAGAAACCCTAGGGTTGAGTTTAGACCTGGATCGAGTATGTTGGGTTTGGACCTGAACTGGGTTATTGGGCCTATTTTGTAAATGGGCCTCTGAACCTTGCCTTGTAACTGGGTCTTGTAAATAATAATAATATAATATATTATATAATAATATATATTATATTAAAACTACACTCGGACGAAAATAACTGTCGACACATAGCTTTGTCATGCACATCATCTAAATCAAGTTCAAGAACATTCAATTCATGTAAAAAATAATCAAGCATACAAACACAATCACCACACATATATCTTAAACGGCTAGGCTAGTAGTTGTAACATGCAAAACATAAATTTTCAAGAATAATTGAATAATGAATAGGTAAGAGTATGAACAAAACAACCTGATTTTTTAGTCGAATAATTTTAGAAATTGAATTTTCTTCCCAATCCTTGATATCTTGTTCTTTCGAAAATTAACAAATCCAATGTTCTTTTTCTTATTGAATTTGAATGAACTGAATTGTGGGTATGGTATGAAAAAGAATACTTAAAGAATATTTAATGAATTAAAGAAGAAAAATTAAAGAATTTTAAATAAATCGAAGAATTGATTGATATTTGAGAAGAAGAGGTAATTTTTTTTGAATAAATTGAAGAATGCGATTTGAAAAATAGGGATATATATAATTATATTTGATTTGAAATTTAATAAATAAAAGAAGAGTTTACTAATGGGAAATTGAAAATATTAATTTTTATCTTTATTAACAACAACAAAACCTTATTCCCATATGCAATGGGGTAAGGGGAGGTAGGGTAGTAGGCTACCCCCAACGCCAGGTTGAGAACAGCTTACGTGGAAGACCTCCGGTAGTCAGCAAATTAAAAATAAAGATAAAATGCAATGTATGTATAAATAAATGAATAGATACATAGTTGAACAATATTCATATGAAGTCTTCATATGCGCGTATGTAATGGGAAGTAATCCCTGCAAATAAATCCCTACGTAAAAATCTCTGCATATAGACAGAAACGTAAAACCCGACTAAATTTAAAAAGAGAAAACCTGAAGAGAATGATACACAGAAGTCAACCATAGCAAGCTACGAGAAGGAATAAAGTCAAATAGGTTAAAACCTAAACTAAGGCAACACTATTTCGCTATCCTAGTTCTAAGCCTTCATAACTTCCAATGACAGAAACGTATAAAAAGTAGAAGTCATGAAAATTACTACAAATACATTAAAAATTGATGGGATTTGAGAAATAGGAATATGTATGGAATAAATAATTTAGTTGTTAAAATTAAAAGTGGGCCCATCCCATGACTAATTAAATATTATGAATTAATATTATATATATTACCGTTTACTTTTAAAATGAAAAGTTAAAAGTGAAATTAAATGTTGTAAATTTACATTATATATATATATATATATATATATATATATATTATCGTTTACTTTTGGATTAAAAGTTAAAAGTGGGCCCTATTACATATTGCTTTCATATTTGGAAACTAAAAACAGTTTTTTCCCTAATAGGAAACTAAAAACTAATTCTAAGGGGGCCCTCAGTGTACCATTTAAAAGGAGGCCCTAAGCAATTACTCAGGTTGCTCCCCCCCAAAAGCTGGCTCTACCACCGGACAAGGAAAATTTTCCTCGTCATTGGAGTTAAGCCCTAGATGAATTGATGGATAATTTTATCAATTTCCAAGCAAACACGAGAATGGAGTCGGGTAGTCCGCATAAAATAAATAGGAATTGCCATAAAAACGGATTTGTCTAGTGTGATGCGACCAACCATAAAGAGAGTACGAGAGACCCAGCCATTCAGTTTCCCCTCATTCTGTCAAGAATAAAATCATAATGATTCCAACGAGTACGACCATGAATAACTGAAACCCTCAAGTAATTCCCGAGAGTATCAACTTGATTGTAACCTAGGAGGGAACAGATAGAAACTTGCAGGTCCCTCGCAATATTAGGGGAGAAATAAATGGTCATTTTTCGAGTGCTGACTTTGTGACCAGAATAGTGTCCAAATTTAGCTTAAGTAGAAATGATAAGCCGAGCTTGAGCGCATTCAACTTTGCAATAAAGAATGAGATCATCGACAAAAAACAAGTGAGATAGAGGGATGCCATTACGAGCAAGATGAAAAGGCTTCCAAGAACCCGGAGAGACCTTGTGATGAATGTTGTGCCTAAGCTTTTCCATGACTAGGACAAAGATATAAGTTGAGAGGGGGTCCCTTGACGGATACCTCGCTCCGGGGTAAAGGGGGAGGTGAGCGTATAATTCCATTGAATTTGCATCGATAAGGAGGAAATACATCGTATAATAATATGAGTGATCTGAGAGGGGAACCCGACATCAAGAAGGGTTTCATGAATAAACTCTCATTAAACTCTATCAAAAGTTTTCTCTAAATCAACTTTAATTGCCAGCCACCTCTGTCTAGATTTCTTGTTGTGCATAGATTGAATTATTTCCTAGTTGAGGATGATATTCTCAGTGATAGACCTTCATGAGATAAAGCTAGTTTGGGCTGAGTGAATGAGACGTGTCATTATGGCCTTCAATCTTCGAACAATAATCTTGGTAATCAATTTGTAGAGAACCAAGGATAGACTAATTAGTCAAAAATCGATCATAGTTTGAGGGAAGTAAACCTTTCGAATGAGGACGATGATAGTTCTATTGAGCGAAGGTTCAATCGAATTGTCGTTGAAGACTCCTTGGACCATAAGACAAACATCAAGGCTAACTACATGCCATTTCTTTTGGAAGAACTTCGCATGGAGCCCATCGGGCTCGAGAGCTTTTACCGGAGTGATATCAAAAAGAGCAACATAAATCTCATCATCATGGGAAAACCTCAAGTCTAGTGAGATTGTTGGGGTCCATCGAAGGGAAACAACTAGAGAGAGGAAAAGAGCCATTGTACCCATCAGAATTAACATATAAGTTCTGAAAAAAAATCCGTGACTTCAATTTAGAGTCTTTCCTCGTCATTGCACCATTCATTATCAGCAAGTTTGAGCGAGGATATGTTGTTCTTAAACTTACGAATCTTTGCCTTTTGGTGGAAGAATTCAGTGTTCCTATCACCACTAGTGATCCAGTCAGATTGGGATTTTTGTTTCCACAACAGTTCCTCCTGGTCAAGTAGCACTTCAAGATTAGCTTGAAGAGACAACTCAAGAGGGGAGAGATAAACTGTATGTCTTTACCCAAGAGTTGTTTGGACCTCCCCTTAGGCGAGCCATGATAGTACGCTTCTTAGCACCAATATAACCAAAGACAGTTCTGTTCCATATATCAGTCGCCGTCGAAAAATTTGTAATAGTATCAGATAAGCTAGGACCGAAATTCTAGTTGTCAAACACCATTCTATTAAAATCATCATGCGATAGCCACCTAGAGAAATATTTAAATTGTCAGGTAGGGCGATAGTGAGGAGCCTGCTCCGTACAAAGAAGAAGCGGCCGGTGATCCAAACGAACCCAAAGGAGGTGGTCGATAAAAGCCTCAGGGAACTGTTCGTCCCAATAAAAATTACACAGAGCACGATCTAGACGAGCATAAACATGTCCTTGATTCCAGGTAAAGTCGGGGCCTTGAAATCCCATGTCCCAAAGACCGGAGTTAAATACAAAGAGTTTTAATTTCTTACTAGCTTTAGTCGTGGCGACACAGCCTTTGTGATCGGAGGAGAATAAAGTAGTGTTAAAATCCCCAAGAAGGATTCAAGGAGAACGAATGATGCCAAAGAATTTTCCTCTTAGTAGCAGAAGGGCTGGCATAAATGAGAGTAGCCATAGAAGAAACATGATTCCTCAAGTGTCGGACCCAAAAATGAACAAATTGGAAGTAATTTGAAAGGACTTCAATTCGAACCCTGTCATACCAACAGAGCCAAATACCAATGGAAATGCCATTAGTCTCAGTTCGATGGGAGTTAGGAAACCCAAGAGAGGAAATAACAGAGTCAACTTTATGACCACTAATACGAGGTTCAACGAAACCAACCACATCGGGTTTGGATTCCCGGAGGAATTTCTTGACAGTTGGTAGAAATATAGGGTCACAACAACCCTGGACATTCCAAATGAAAAATTTAATCATCAAAAAATAAATAAAAGGGTAGCAGAATACTGATGAATCAATCAACTATCATATATGTCCTGCTTTCCACAGGAAAACTCGAAGTAGCCTTGTCTGAGGCAAGTTGAAAAACCACCAAAGTGACCTGGTATGTCTGACTGAGGTGATGGGTAGGAGGTTGCAGAGGGAGATCGGTGTTTTCATGCATTGTTACCACTGTATGTTTCGCAGGAGCCAGAGTTGTACTAGAGTTCACCAAAGAATTATTTTATGTTGGTTGGACCTGGGGAATATAACGGTGTTGAGCTATTGAAGCAGTCTTGGAAGAAGAAGCATGCGATTACACAAAGATGGGTTTTCGAATAGGGACCACTAGAGTTTGGTAGTTCTGGGCGTAATGGGAGCTTTACCCTTGCCTCGATTAGCCGCTTTGGTTCTGGGTATGGGGGTGGGCCGAGGGTCTTGGAGATCAGCAGCAGTAACTTGGGGGTTTCGGTCAGGCTGTTCATCATCAGAAGCTTCATAAATAGGGTTAAACAGAGAGCCAATTGTTAAGTGGTGCTTTGTATTAGGGCCAGACGCAGTGAACTTTGGAGGGTTTCGACGTTGCCGATGCTCGACAAGCATCCAGGGCCCGAAAGCAGAATTTTTCGGGGCTGAAGCTCGAGGAGCAGGAACTTTGGGTGGAGGAACAACATTGGACAAAGGAGTATTGAAGGGGCAAGAGTCTTTGACGTGACCATATTTTCCACAGTCAAAGAAACAATAGGCATGACATCACCTGGAGACGGTCGTTGATCAAAATCTTGGACACCAGTGGTTTATCTAAATCAAGAGTGATAGCCATTCGAGCAAAACGGCCTCTACGACCACATTCAGTTTGGTAGTCGAGCTTGAGAATGGGTTCGATGCATTCGTCGATTGTCATAATAAAACTCAACTTATAGAGAGTAACCGGAAGGACATGAAGACGAGCCCAAGCAAAAATCTTCTTTGGGTGCAGCTGTAAGGGAGAGAAATCCACTGATCAGGGTTCAACGATCAGGTAATGTCCGAAAATTATCCAAGGTCCTTCAGTGAGCGCTTTCAATTAATCTGAACGTGTTTGAAAGGTGATCAAAAAGTAATCGTTCTCAATATCTATAACTTGGACTATCTGAGACGGTTTCCAAAGGTCGTAGATCTTGTTTCGCGGGTTGTGTAACCAATCCTCCTCCCCAGGAGCTTAACAACCATAGTTTGATCGAAGCTTTTTTTAGTCAATTCATGGACCCGCTCTGAAAATTAAATCGATATTAGGCCATCCACCAAACTACGAGTGACATCTCCCACAAGTAGTTCTATCTTATCCTTATCAATAGCAGATTCAAGAGGGTTTGGGTTCATCGTGATATGATCCCGATTATGTGTTTCGAGTCATATATGTGAATGCCCGATCGTGATTCTAGTAAGAAACACCGTAATGATAGCTTGAACTCTGAAATTGCATAAATATAAACATAAGAAGGAAATGATATGAAATAATAATTGAAATGATGGAATGAAAAGAATGAGGAAGTTGTTTGAAGATGATGGAAGAGTGATGGTTGTTGTGGTTTAATGATAATGAAAATAGATGATGAAGTCTGAATGGCGTTGTCATGGCAAATGGTGTTGTCGTGGTAAGTGTTGTAAGGATAAAGCGGATTGTGACCCGTTAGCTATTTGGAGCTAAGAACCAACAATATAAAAAAATGGAATCAAAATGGTAGGGCATGGAACCTGACCCACTAGCTATATATGAGCTAGGAACCAACGCTATAACAAAAGGAAATGGATGAAGACTACAAGACTATCTTGAAGCCGATAAAGTTCTACAAGAGAACAAGAATGAAAGCAACCTCTCAAAGATGTTTTATATATTCCAATGTGTCTACAAATGATCCCAAAGGTGTCTATTTATAGTATTTCTAAGAAGCATATGAAAAGACTCAAAAGATGAAAACATTCTCATCAATTTAGCAATAAAATGCACTTGAATGCTTTGTCTTCTTATCTTCAAAGTTGGATGAATATTCTAGATCATTTTGGGGATGAATCTATACAATTTGAAGCTGAATTTGGCCTTAATTTCGTCCAAGGGGAGGAAGACTCTTGCTATTCTATGCTGAAAATTGTCTTGATAAGTGAATTAAATCACCTTTCATTGCATACTCCCTTGAAGAATATGAACAACCCTTGAAGATGATAACAATAAGATTTGAATGCCTTTAATAGGTGAATTAAGAGTCCTTCAATGGCTTGTCACTTGGCTGAAGTTGAAAAGACTATCCTTTGGCTCAAACTCATCCAAATCATCCATGCATAAAATTCCCGTAACAAAATTCCAGCCTGCACGGTCTTCAATAAATCGATCATATCTCAAGCTCCCGATATCGGATTAATGTGATTCAAAAGGCGTTGGAAAGCTAAGAGATAGAGGAATAATGGAAAATTGATTTCTAGAACCAAAAGAATCTGTATCGCATCCAGAATTAGAAGACATTCTGACTAACATTCTTGCATATGATGAAACCATTCAACTTCTCTCATGCACCTAGACACAAAGGTGAACTTTATTCAATATTTAATTGAAAACATGAATGAAACAATTAAGAGTTAATCTAATAAATGAACTAATTTGATGAATGAAATAGATGATTTAAATGCAATGCATGCTTGAATGAACAACACACTCATTAAATGCAATGAATGTTATGGAAACTTTAAATTCTCATGCAAATTCATGCATAAGCAAAGTAAAGTGTTCCTCCCTTATTATTCCTTCTTCATCACGTTCACAACATGATGTGAACATACTCTCCATGGATGCTTGAAACTCCTTAGCCCTTGCTCGTGTGATGGGGCCACTTGGGTACTTATCCGGGTCTTTGCTATTGGCGATCATATCAGTACCTCCCTCTTTAAGGCAATTTGTCCCCAAATCGTCACCTATATCATAAGGAGACAAGTCAGCAACATTGAAGGTTTCACTAACATTAAACTCACCTAGAAGATCTAATTGATAGGCGTTGTCATTGATCTTCTTGACTATTTGGAATGGTCTATCTCCCCGAGGCATTAATTTGGACTTTCGTTGTGCCGGAAACCTTTATTTCCTCATGTCCAGCCACACCCAATCCCCTGGCTCAAAAGTAATTCGCTTACGACCCTTATTTGCCTGTTGCTCGTATTACTTAGTTCGCTTTTCAATGTTCTCCCTTACTTGTTGATGAATCTTCTTAACAAACTCAGCTTGGTTATGTCCATCTTTATTCACAATTTGATCAGCAAGTAATGGTAACAAGTCTATCGGTGTTAATGGATTGAACCCATACACCACTTCGAAAGGCGTACGCCCCATAGTAGTATGGATTGAACGGTTGTATGCAAACTAACTCTCCTCCCATGTTCTCAAATTCTTCCGAATGATAGATCGAAGTAACATGGAAAGTACTAGATTCACCACTTCAGTTTGACCATCTGTTTGAGGGTGGCAAGTGGTGGAGAATAGTAGCTTAGTACTAATCTTACTCCATAGGGCTCTCCAAAAGTGGCTTAAGAACTTCATATCCCGATCAGACACAATAGTTCTTCGTATACCATGTAGCCTTAAAATTTCCTTGAAAAACAAAGTAGCAATATGTGAGGCATCATTAGTTTTGTCACAGGGAATGAAATGAGCCATTTTGGAAAATCTATCAACAACTACAAAGATGGAGTCTTTTTGGTTCTTTGTGCGTGGAAGCCCTAGCACAAAATCCATTGAAATATCCATCCATGGTGCTTTTGGTATGAGTAGTGGTGTGTAAAGTCCATGTGGCATGACTTTAGATTTGGCCTTCTTACAAGCAATGCAACGCTCACATAACCTTTCCACATCTCGTTTCATTTTGGGCCAATATAGATGTTCTTGAAGAATAACCAAATTCTTTGCTATCCCAAAATGTCCCATTAATCCTCCTCCATGGGCTTCCTTAGTGAGCAATTCTCGCATGGAACCTTGAGGGACGCATAGACTCCCTTCCTTGAATAGAAAACCATCATGCTTAAAGTATTTATCAATCGTCCCTTTCTCACAAGCTTTGTAAATTTCCCCAAAATCAGAGTCAGAAACATTTAAGTCTTTAATAAAAGTAAAACCCAACAACTTAGATTCCAAAGTGTTTAAAAGAACATACCTTCGTGACAATGCATCGGCAACTATATTCTCTTTACCTTTCTTGTACTTGATAACATATGGAAAAATTTCAAGAAACTCTACCCATTTGACATGCCTTTTGTTGAGTTTATGATGCCCCCAAATATGTTTCAACGCCTCATGATTGGTGTGAATGATGAACTCCTTAGGCCAAAGGTAGTGTTGCCATGTTTCCATTGCCCTCATAAGAGCATACATCTCTTTGTCGTAGGTAGGATAATTAAGCGTAGCTCCACTTAATTTCGCACTAAAATAGGCTATAGGACGTCCACCTTGAGACAAAACTGCTCCAATTCCTACACCTGA